GCGCGCATCCAAGATGGCGGCCCATCCGTTTCCGGTGGCGCGCGCCTCCAAGATGGCGTTGCATCCGTTTCCGATGGCGTGCGCCTCCAAGAGGACTGTACCTCCGTTTCCGGTGGCGTGCGCCTCCAAGAGGGCTGCGCATCCGTTTCCGGTGGCGCGCGCCTCCAAGAGGGCGTCGCCTCCGTTTCCGTGGGAGGAGGAGGAGGGAAGGGAAGGGGTAAAAAACCCAGAGAAGCGGTAGTAAAAGGTGAACAAGAAACGAGTTTTGTTGTTGTTGTTGTTCTAAACATAGAAAAGGCGGTGGTGGTGGAGGGAGGGAGGAGGAGGGAGGAGGAGTGATGGAGGGAGAATGAGGGAGGTGGGAGGGGAGTCGGGTTCTTCGTTTTGTTTTGTTTTGGCTGGTGTGTGGCGATGGCATGTTGAGATGATAGCTTACTGAGACGAGGTTATGATACACAGTCGACGACTCTGCCACTTTGTTGCTAGGTTGACGTCATATCGGCGAAGGATTTTGCAACAACATGTCACAAATCATGTCATCGGGTATGGTGATGTGTTTGTAAACTTTGAGGTGTAAGGTTTCGTTCCACAAGGCGATCGTGTATTGTAGCCACTATGACAGTTGTTCGTCTTAGTTAAAAGTCGGTGAGTTGCGAATTTAAAGGTGCTAAAGGTGTTGCCTGAATTCTAAAGGTGAATCGACAGGCACAGACATGAATGTGGTGTAGGAATGCAGGAAGCGCTCAGATGTCGATCTTGTTTTGTTTTTTTTGGTTTTTAACTGGGGTTGTGCATGACAATTTCCAACCTAAAAAGACAACATAACACTACTATTTGTTCAACTTTTTTTTAATCCCCCGCTCACATGAACCAACACAACAAAACAAAATTTACAGGATTAGGGGCGTCCCTGTGATTTTTGTGAACATGAACGTATGTACACGTATGTGAACGTATGTACAGTTTGAAAAAAAAGAACTTTTGCCACTTTGGTAGTGAACGTATGTACATTCCTAAAACGCAGTGAACGTATGTACACTCCTCAAACAGGAACGTTGACAGTCAGGTGATCGTAGGTTCAGTGAACAAGTGTCAGGTCAATAAGGGCAGAAAGGTTGATTCTTTTGATGAAGGGTACGCATCTGGGCACTCAGTCGAAAGGCTGGCATATCATTCACAGGAACGGAGGTAGACACTTTGGTATGAAACCATGCTAATACCGTGGCATCATTCTTGGCGGTGTCCTTCCAGTCCAACGTATCTGACACTTGATTAAAAGTCCACCCACGCACGCGATATGTCAACATGTAGAGACAGTACACGCCACACAACGTGCTGTATCCATGTTGTAAGGGGCGTGTATTCCATCGTTGTTGAATCTGACCCATGCGATTCAATGTCTCTTTAAACAGGGGTAATGAATACAGTCCATAGCTATCCATCATTTCCACGGATCCAGGAACTGGACGATAGATGCTCACCCAGTGTGTGCCAGGTTGATCGCTTAAATCTGTGTTGACCACGTAGGCTTTTGGGTAAAGGGGTCATCTTGTTGCCACCCCAGTCTGGCAAAGTCATCTCTGGCCAGGGTGCCCCGGTAGATGGCATGAAGTGGTTCGTCATCAGCCACGAGGGCTTCTAAATCCAAGCTGCTCAACCCGAGTGGTTCATCCATGTTCCCTTGTAGGAGGAGAAAAGTGTGGCATGATCGTCTGTCGCTGCTCTTTTTATACCATCATCGCATTCCGGAAACGATCTATTTCCAGAACATTTTCGTACTCCTCAAAGCAGATGAGGGTGACTGGGTTCTCGAGAGCTTGTCCAAACTGGATTTCCAAACCCAGCTTGCCAGTGTGTCGAGGATAGTTAATGCCTTCATCAGCGCCAAGGTCTGGGGTGAGATCCACCACCCACAAGGTGTAACCCTGAGTAAAGGCATTAGGAGTCAGTTCACAGGTCTCAGGTTGCCATAGCTGCCCCATGTTTCGGAACAGACTCATGTAGATTTGTTTTAAACTGGCACTGTTGTTGCTGAAGTCACTTTTCATTTCCATCCCATGGACTTCCTGGCCATTGACTTTGAGCTTCATCATGGTGACATGGTTGTGTTTGAAGTTGTATGGATTCTTCTCTTTGCTTCCTACATAGGCACTATTGTCCACCAGTCCCAGGACCACGCGTTTTGGTAATTGGCCACCGATGAGCTGATCCTTGTGAAAGTCTCTACCATCTGTGGGGATGTCATGGGCTGTCACTCCCACACATGAAAGGGGATACTTGGCAGTCACCCCTGCATTCAGACTGGACACGTGCGCTTCTCGGACAGCAGGATCGATGTTGAGTTGACGAACATAGAATTCTGCTTTGGTCAGGGCTAGTTTGTAGACACCATCAGCAGCACACATGAAGAAGAACTCATCGGGACTTCATAGCAATTCCAGTTTCATAGGGACACCATCCAACAGATTGCGTTCTTGAAGAAACAGGTCACAGTGTAGACGTCCTGTCAGTTCCACTTCTTTGATGGGCACGATAAGATCACGTCGCGTTCTGACACCTGTGTTTCTTACGTTTGCAACTGCATCAGGATTGAAGGCGTCCATTTTACCAGCACTATTGGTGAACCATCCAGGACATTGAAGGTGAGATGTTTTGGCTCCTGTACCATAACTCAGAAGGGTTTCCAAGTAGGCTCTGTAAGGGTAAGTGCCCATGGTGGGCGTGATCTCCAACTGATTGTGTCCCACTTGCAGCCGCACTTCGCGAATCAGGGAATGCATCACATTGTTGACTGTCGATACAGGGTTATCCGCTAGAACGGTATCTGTGCCATCATCTTTCGTCGCACGTAGACATACTCTCAGGTAGCACTGTTTCAAATCAATGTAAGCATTCACGGGATTGGAAATGTTAAACTAGAGTGGTCCTGCCACAGAGGGTGGTGCCAAGGGACTATAGCGAATCCACTGACCCTCTTGCACCGAGGTGGACACAGGGGGTACAGTAAAGAGATCCAACTGGGCCTTTGAACATTCGCAAGCATCTCGGCGCATCATGATGATGGATATTCCTCCCTTTTCTCTGCCTTGAAGGACGTCTGGTCAGGTTAAAAGGCTGATGAGGACTGGCCTTTAAACCATTTTTCTTTTCCTTTTACACTGTTTCTGGTGGGTAATGGTGGTGGTTGGGACGACTTTACGTCTTTTAGGGGGTCTCGGCTCCTCACGTTCCTCCAAGACATCCATCAGGGCTGCTGTGCCACGATGTTTCAGACTCTCTGACCATTTGCGTTTGCCTGCAACCACATCACTCACCAACCCAGGCAGGATCTTTTTACCCATCTTGAGCACCGATGTTCCGGCAGATTTAAGGAAAGGCAACGCCATCTTCAAGATACCTCCGAGACCACTGCCACGTTGATGATATCGTCCTTTGTATACTTTGATGCCACTCCCATGCTGGCCAAACTGTCCTCGATTCATCTGGTGTGCCAATGCGTGTCCCAACATGTTGCTTTTTGCTTTAGTAGCGGCGTCTGAAGTGAAGTGTCACGATGGCTTCCCCGATTTGAAATGCCACGGGTCGCCCCGTGTCGTCCATGATATAGAGTTTAATACCGTCAAAGGAACCATAACGCAGCCCGAGTGAGTGAATGTGCTGAGGGCTTTTAATCACCACACGTCTTGCATCATCTTCTTTGACACAGGCACGTAGATCAGCAAGTGAGCCATCGTATTGCCCACAATTTGATCTTCGACCAGGTTGGTGTAGATGTACACAGTATCAAATCCTGACAGACGATGCGCTTTTGTATCACCTGTGATTTCTACATAGCCACTTGTCATTGGAGTAGCCCCCACTTGCCACTGGGCCAAGGCACTCAAGGGAACGGGCGTCTCTGTGTAGGTTTTATAGTCCTCCTCGCCGAGGATCGGTAGTTGAACAAATCCAAGCATTCTCAAGAGTGGACTTGGCATGATCACTTCCGTGGAATAGAGTGGTCCACCAGTATTTCCCATGAGAGGATGATTGATTGCTACTTCTTGAGGGGCTTGGAATCGCACCTTTCCATCTTCAAGCATGTCAAATCGAAGACTATCTTTGGGATACATGACATCAATGACAAACCGTCTTCCATCACTTTGGACGCTGTCTGAGGGCTGTTCTTTCAAGACATCCGTAATATGTTCCTGAATCAAACGGTTGAGGGTTTTCACCAAATCTTCAGATGAATAGACGCCTTTCTCGATTGGAATCTTCTTGCTTTCGTAACAGACGATACCATACTGTGGCTGTGGTATAGCGCTCCCTGCGCTTTCATACACAAGGGTGTCTTTTTTCAGTTTGAGGTTCAGCGCAAACCAGTCAAAGGGTGGAGCGACGTTGTACCATGTCATCGGAAAGTGAATTTCGCTGACGCCCACCTCCAACTGTTGGCGATCCAGATGCAGAGGATAAGGCAACTTGATTTCATACGCATTGACGGTGTTGTTTGGATAGATGTCCATGGAGGCATCACTGGGCAGGGTCATGTAAAAGTCTTGTTTCGAAAAAAGGTGGCAGCCATGATGACGTGAGTTAGGGTAGAAAACTCTGGGTGGATGAGGTATCAAGTTGAAGTCTTCTGGTGGGTGGGGTCGTCGTGGGTGTGCCTGGTGAGGCGGCAAAGGTGGGTGGTGGAAGTATGTATCCCAAACAACTGGAGAGCAGGGCTGTCCACAACTGTTTCTCTCCGTGATCCAAGGCCAACTGTACCATGCTTATGATGATCACGCCATATATCACAATGATCTGAGCAAAAAACACGACTTCACTGCATGGTAAAGTCATGCCAAAACAACACCAAGGTGAGTGTCGGCGCTGGTGATGACGTGGTGCAGCAGCAAGGGGTGGTTCATCGGTATGCTGAGAGGCTTCTCTGCAGGGGTGGTGACAGGGGGGGGTGGTTCTGTAATCGCGTGTGTCCACCCTCTGAATGAGTCTGAGAGACAGCATGCTCCTTAATTTATCTGTAAATGATCTGCAAGGATCCACGAATTAAAACTGGCAGGGTAGCCAGTCCATTTCACCAAGACCTCTTCTTGACCCTGTTTTGGTCCTGGACGTCTTTTCAGCACGCGATCCACGGCATACACATCGTCTGCTTTCAAGATGGGTTGTATTTCTTCAGGGTAAAAGGTTCCTTGGAGGACTTCACCATGATCATCTTTGATCCGGTACACAGGAGGTGTTCTCCCTGTCACCAACCGGTCCATCGTAAACAGTTCAGTGGTCCAATTGGGGAGATAACCTTTCTCAAAGGTGCCTTTGGTTTTGTTCAGACGTACACGGGTGCCCGGCAGTATAAGAGAGGGGGATCTTGTCTTGGGGGACGACAGTCTTTGTGTTGTTATTTTCTTTTTGCGCTGCAGCCGTTGTTGTTGTTGTTTTTCCTCCATGTAGTCTAACACCCGAATTTCTGACAGGGGATCTCCTGGGAGGACGTCCACAGGTCGCTGGCCAATGGTCCGATGCACACGACGCTTGTACGACTTGATCAACTGGGGTAAGACTTTCAAATAGTGTCTGGTCCCATGCTGTGTAAAGTATCGCCACATTTTATTTTTCAGAGTCCTTTGAAACCGTTCCACCACGGCTGCATTCGTTTCAGGATTTTGACTTGTGTAGAAATGAATGCCATGCTTCGTCATGAGAGCCTGGAAAGGACGGTTGACAAATTCTCTGCCTTTGTCTGTTGCAATTGAGCAGGGATTCGACCTTTGGCTTGTTGCATCAGCAAGGTTTGAAAACCTTCGGTCAAAGCAGAACTGCTCTTGGCCTTCAGGGGTTGCACCCATGCCATCTTTTGAAAACACATCGATCACGCACAGCAGATATTTGAATCCTTGGTTGTCATCTTGAAAGGCAATCATATCACTCAAGTCTGCTTGCCACAGTTCATCGACCCCTCCCACACGATAGTGGTCTCTCGGAAAGGAGCGTCTGGCTGGTTTGTGCAAGGTGTAGGTACTTTTGGTTTGCAACCAACGCTTGATTTGACTTTGCGATGGTATGGTTTTCTTCTTGCTTTTACTGGTTCTTGCATCTTAAGCGTGGATGCGTGCTGCTTTCCACAAAGGTCGCCAGCCTCCAAAACTTTTTTTTCTTAGGTGGTGCTAAAGGGTATCCATGAACCTCGCCTGTTGATGAATCTGTCCTGTTTGGTATCAGATGGAGTCGGGGTCATCAACCATGGGGTTGGCATCACATCTTTTTCTTCTTCTTATGCTTATGGATCCAGCTGCCGCCTCCTTCTTCTTCTTCTCTCTTTGTGACTTTGTGGGGAGAACGTGGGGTGGGGGAACTGGGTTATGGGTGTTTTTGGTCGGGCGTGAGGATGTTGTTGTTGTTGTTGCTGCTGCTTCTGCGTCCATTGCCATCGTTGAGGATATCAATCATTTCATGAGGGACATGACTTTTGGCCAAATGGTGACCCAAAATGGTCAAACCTGCAGGCCCCTCTTTGGTTTTCCAGTGACGCACTAAATCGTTTATCAAGTCCACCATGTGTGTGCCAGGGACGGGTTTCCCTTCCACGTTCAGGGTTCCCACTGGAGTCCAACTCAAGTCGGGATTGTTTTGAATCCTTGTCATCAAATTCATGGCTTTACTGGAACACTCATGACCACTTCGTCTATCACTTGTTGAGGAGGGGCAGGTCTACCTGTGGTGTCCATCATTGAGGGTGATGGTGGTGGTATTGGTAGCGTCACTTTGGGTAGTAGTGGTTTGATGGCGTTGTTGTTGCTGTTGTTGTTGTTGTTGTGCTGTTGGCGCTGCAACTCTAGCATGCGTTGCAGCAGTTGGTTGTATTCTTGTTCCTGCATGTGAAAAGGCTGCTGTGACCTCTGCATCAACCCGTCCATCTCTTCCAAATTTTGAAGACGTTTCTTTTCCAAGAGAGGGATGTGAAGTGTCTGACTTTGCCATGTGTCTTCAAGCACCAACACCATTTTGCGTGCGTACTTCATGGTGGCACACCACACACTGATCCCAACCTTCCTGGTGTCAGACCATTTATTACTTTCCTCCAAACAAGGAGGCTAGGGCAGAACCAATAAGAGGGATGAGTCCTCCTAATAATCCTCCTCCATGTTGAAGAAGTTTATGTTTCTTGCTTAGAGGTACTTGTTTTTTACATGAGCGTGTTCAAGACTTTACCGTGTCGTTGCAAGTTTTGACGTTGAGTCGTGGTCATGGGAATATTGCCTGCATACAAGTTCACCACACATTCACAAAGGGCATGGATGAGATCAGTGGGAGCATGTTTGAGAATGGCTTTCCGCATAGCTGGAGCAGCAGCACACAAATGACACAGAGTGTGTTTCTGTTTCCTGAGGCACTGAGACATCTTTCCTGCATGGAGGTGTTAGCCTGAATGAGGCACCTGATCTGCAACTTCTCTCTTTTATCAGGCAGTGGCAGGAGGGAGTTGCAACTGTTGATCTGCCTTCTTGGACTTTCTTTGGGTCCGCATGTGCACCAATCGTCTGAGAGCATCAGCTTGATACGCATTCATGAGATTTTCATGGGCCTTTACTTTTGGCTTAGTAGACGTCGTTGTTGTTGTTGTTGTTGTTGTTGTTGTTGTAAGTCGGTGGCGCCTGGTGTTACCCTGTTTGAGGAGTGGTGCTTGAAGATAGTGTTGCCATTGCAACAGAATGCGTGTCAAGACCCCTGCAAGTGTTCCACTACCACTACGTTGTATCAGGTAGCCAAGACGTTCATCCATAGGCAGCCGTGGATCGACAATTTTAGTCAGGATGTCATTATGTCTCTGCAACCACGTCTTATGTTGAGCTTTCAATGGGATGTGCCCTGCTCTCAGGTTTCGCACAACAATCGCAAACCACTGCAAAAGACGATTTCTTCCTTTGACGGCAAGGGTTGTCGCATCCCTTGTCGGAAAAATAGATGGTCTCTTGTCTTTTTTCTTCTTCTTTCGTGGGGACTCCTGCTGCTGCAGACGTTGAAAGCGTTGAAGATCGAGTGGGGGCGAGGGTGCAGATGAGAAAGGGTGTTGTTGTTGTTCCTGACGATGCTTGTTCAAGGGTACCATTGAAGAGTAAGATGGCCCTGCATTGAAGATCATGTGGTGGCCAGGGTGGCGAGGGTGCTGATGATGTTGAAGGACGTGGTGGTGGCTGCTGCTGACGATGCATGTTCACTGGTACCATTGAAGAGGGAGACGATCCTGGTGGTGAAGGAGTCTTGTGAAATGCAGAGGTCACAAGTCCCTGTAGCGATGAGGGGGAGACCATACTGTCATAGACATCATTCATCATCTCTTTGTCTTTGTTCTTTCCCTTCGTAGGATGAGCCTGTTTCCGTCTTTGCCCCATGATGGATGTAGGACAACTGAAGGAAGGTCTGGGAGTTCACCTGCTTTTATGAAAGTCTCTCCATCTCATAGGATTGGCACATACACGTGGGGAAATTCGGATCTCGAAAACAGGCGGGCATGTATGCGATGGTTTTGCAACGTGGTGGGCTTCAAATCCAAGAACAGGTAAGTGTAAGGCCCTCGGGTGGCGTCTTCATAGGCTTCACGCAGAAAAGGAACTTTGCCTGGAAACACCTGGCGAGCCAGACTGTCGATCTGCGATGCATCTCTCGGATTTTTAAAGAGAACCATGTAGTGAGCATTCAGACTGATGGTGCGATGTTGCGGCGATTGAGCAAACAAGTTCTGAGTGAGATACAGCACGGATGTACTTCGGTGATGACTTTTCTTGGTGAACCATCGCAGCACTTCCATTTCTTCTTCTTTTGGATTGTCCCCAAGCAAATCATCGATTACCAGCCAATGCGGGGCCACCCCTTTTTCAGGTAAGGCACGATCCGCTTCTTTTATGCTCTGCACAAACTCAAGAGCGACCCCTAAGCGGTCTGCCATCTCTTCCAGCTCATGATGAAGCGGTTGCCATTCACTGTACACCCACACGATGCGATGGTGTGGCGTATCCAACACCTTGGGGCAATGCATCTGTTCCATACATGATTTCACAAAGGAACTTTTTCCTGATCCCGTGGGTCCCGCAATGAACATCATAAAAGGATGGCGTAGGGTCAAAGGGGTGGTCATGACCTCTTCATCATCATGTGATGCCATCCTGTGTTCTGGCTGACTGACACCAGGCAACTGATCCTTTCAAGCATGACCTTTCTCTTTTATCTATTTTTTTTCCCTCTCTCTCCCATGACCCATACAATTTCTTATGAAAAAGATACACAACGGCCAGTCCGATTTAGAAAACCGGGCTCAGACCAGGTGTCAGAATGGACTCCTCAGCATGATGTGTTTTCGACCAATCAGGAAGCAGGGTGTCAGTGCCTCTCCTATAAAAAGAGTGAAGCCACGCACATCGTCACAGTCCGAGCACTGAAGGAGAGATCAACCATGTCGTCTCGATGCAGCTGTCTGACGTGCCAGACGAACAGTCAACAATGCCTGCGGAGGAGGAAAGTCTATTCATGGACAATAGTCGGCTACCCACGGGGTGAATCGGAGACGATCCTATCGCAGAGCCAACACTGGTTTAAGAACAAGTCTGAGGCTATGGCAGCATTACGACAAACTATTCAACGCGGAATTGACATACCCAATTGTTGGGGTGGTCCGTATTATTATCTAGTATCGGGATCAAGGAAAGTAATGTAATCAAGAAGACAACCCTTGTCCAGCTTGTTTCCAGTTTGTTTTCCAACGGCCCTTTTCAGGGCCACCCATCTCTCCTGAAAGAACGCTTTCATCCTTTGCTTTGACGACCCTCAAACCCAAACAAAGAACCCGACTCCCCTGCCGCCTCCCTCCCTCCCTCCTTCTCCCTCCCTCCCTCCTCCTCCCTCCTCCTCCCTCCCTCCACCACCACCGCCTTTTCGATGTTTAGAACAACAACAACAAAACTCTTTTCTTGTTCACCTTTTACGACCTCTTCTCTGGGTTTTTCCCCCCTTCCCTTCCCTCCTCCTCCTCCACCGGAAACGGAGGCGACGCCCTCTTGGAGGTGCGCGCGCCACCGGACACGGAGGCGACGCCCTCTTGGAGGTGCGCGCCACCGGAAACGGATGCGCAGCCCTCTTGGAGGCGCACGCCACCGGTAACGGATGAGCCGCCATCTTGGAGGCGCGCGCAGGTCCCATCATGCCCCGCGCGCATGCGCAGGTCACGTGACCGGAAGTGACGTCACAGAGGTCACGTGATCCTCTCGACCAATCAGAAGCCAGGAGCGGCCCTGGACCGATGCTACCAACTACTCTTATGCTTTGAACAAGGAACAAAGTCACTAAGGTTGAAATGAAAGAATTAAAAAAAATCAAAATGTAACCATGGAACAGAGAAACTATTCTAACTGTTTAGAGTGGGCACGGGGATCGGGGTGGGGACAGTCCTCTAAGGCGCTGCAATTTTCTGTGCAGAGTTGCGTTCTTTGGCCACGCGATCGTGAGTCCAAATCCCGGTTCGCCCCGGTTATGTGTCTGGATTTGTCATCATAATACCCGTGCTAGTGGGTTTCATCAAAGTGGTAAACGACTGAAACTTCAACACTTCGGGCTTTCCTCCCAAGCTGACACGCCGTGATATGAATAGAATACTATTCAAAACAGGGTTAAACACAACACACTCACTCACTCTCTCACCAACTGTTCAGATGAAATTGAGAGGAGGGCATCTGTATTGTTTCACCACGGGTGTTTTAAGATGGCAGAAGGGAAGATCCTGGAGAAAATGGTATCTGAATAGATTTTCGTAGTTTTATCTTATCTTCCTAGAAGAGTTTATTTTGGATCCACGATTTTGCCGACTGATTTTGGCTAGGTAGATTATTACTTGTATGTATATTTATAAGAGCATAAAAACTTAAACACACAA